CACCAAGTCAAGGGTTAAGATCCCCTTACCAGTCATCTTTAAAAAAAAAAAAAAAAATTAGAATACTCTTGTCATTCTGATACTGAAAAGAGAATCGGATGGAGCATTAATTCTGCTACAGGTTTTATTTCCTATTTACATAGTGTACTTTTTAATTATTGTCCTTTTTTTTTTTCTACAAGGTAATGCACAGCTTTAGTCCTGTAGGGCAGCATTAGTCACAAAACTAAAAGAACTCAGATTTGCCGAGTGCTTAAATTGGGGATTACAGTATTTAGACAACATATAAAGTCCATTTGTGCCTACTCTGCACTGTGAGACGAGGGGAAAAACCTTCTATTAAACAAATCACTCTTGTTAAAAATTGGACTAAACCTAAATCTTATGTGACCATGCATTTATTCAGCCGTGCATAACTAATGATTTTGTTGTACTGCATATACTTTTGGACAATTTCTTAGGGTTAAGTTAAAAAATATAATTTGCTGCAACTAAGTTTTAAGTACTATAGTTAAATCTTTGTAGTTTTTAAAAAATGGTTTTCACCGAATAAGAAATCCAAGCAGATTTTNGCACTGTGAGACGAGGGGAAAAACCTTCTATTAAACAAATCACTCTTGTTAAAAATTGGACGAAACCTAAATCTTATGTGACCATGCATTTATTCAGCCGTGCATAACTAATGATTTTGTTGTACTGCATATACTTTAGGACAATTTCTTAGGGTTAAGTTAAAAAATATAATTTGCTGCAACTAAGTTTTAAGTACTATTGTTAAATCTTTGTAGTTTTTAAAAAATGGTTTTCACCGAATAAGAAATCCAAGCAGATTTTGCTCTGCAAATGCCAAGTGGACAAGGTATTGAACTAGTAAAAAGAATTAAAAATTTCCCCTGCGTAAATATTATCTTAGAAATAAGAGAATTCGAAATGCTGTTCATGTTTATCATAGGTCCTGTTTCTTGGTGCCTACAGAATAAGGGAAAGATTGAATGTTGACATTTCAGCCCATAAAGACTTTTAATGGTGAGGGTTAACCAGAAGAATTGGGCAAGGATTATGGGCCGGTTCTTGTCCAGCTTGCTTTTGGAAGCATAAATTCCCTTGATACAAATACTTTTAAATTTCAAACCCTATGAGGGACAGAGGGCTGGGTAGCTGCGTCTTCGGAGGAGGAATGCTAAAATTGAAGCAGGCAGCTGCGGGACCACTATAGCCGGCCCTGCTCTCGGGCCTTTCCCGAGCCGGAAGCGCATCGCTGTCGCCCGGCCAGGTCGTGCAGGCGCCCCGGGACGAGCAGCTGCGAGTCGCCCGCGCGCCACCTGTTTCCGCGCCCAGGGACTTCCCCTGGCGGGGCTCAGAAGTGTGGGGCCGGTTGCTTGGCCTCCCCTGGACGTCAGGGACCCGGGGTAACCCCCCCACACCGCAGCCTCCTG